TATATATATATATATATATATATATATATATATATATATATATATATATATATATATATGCCATCTTAGAATATATTTCATTACACATATGCATAAACGCGCGCGCGCGAACACAAATATATATTTACAAAAGAAAAAAAAAATAAGACCAAGTTTAATGGAAGTATAATCAGATGGTACTTCGCGATACTCTTCCCGAACATTAATCATCACAGAAGATACGACACTCGCTTCACAATTTACGCAGTATACACTACTATACGTTCCATTCGTCGTTTCTTTTTATAGTTACTCGAGATAAAAGACAGCGTTTGCTCAAATATATACACGACATTTACACGACACGTCTGACAAGGTATTACATACCTCATATTAATTTTTGGTAATTACGTAGAATAAGGACTTTTCCGAATTTTGATATTTTTTTGCTACAATCTTGATAAATATCTTTGTTGTTATTCCAACAGTGATAATCAAATGATAATCAAATGAAAAATAAGAAAGATGCCTATCTCTAGCCGTGTAATTGTAGAGCGTTCCGTTATAGGCTCGCAACGCTCGCGAGCGTCATTCTATTTTTATTTAACATCCATGAGCAACAAAGATAGAATGACGTTCGCGAGCGTTGCAAGCGTATAATGGAACGCGCCCCTGGGGGCTACGCCCCCCAGACCCCCCGCATCTTAAAGTCCTTATTCTACATAAAAACCTAATTTTTTCCGACTCCTTAAATTGCGAGTTGGCAAAGGTGTCGAGGGAGGAATGGCTTCCGTCTCTTCCAAAGGTTCGATATCAGCGAATGAATCATTAGTAACAAATAACTTCTTCTTGCGAGTTGTACGTCTCTTATCCGTCGATGATTCCGCCGCAACAGTGGTGGCAGTGGTGGGTAAAACGACGCGTTTCGCACTGCGTTTGGACTCTGATCCAGATAACTCCACAACTGGTATGTCTTCTTGCTTAATCGGCAATATGGCCTTTTTTCCTCGCTTGCCCTTGGGCTGACGTTGAATCGAAACTTCGTCCTCCGATGCAGTATCGTAACAATCTTTAGCTTTCGCACCAGCTTCGTACTTGCGCAGCTTATCTTGAAGATCTTGCACGCGATTCTGTAACTTTTTATAATCATCCTTATTTGGTGCGGTTGTCATTTGCCGGAATAATTCCTGATACCTCATCACCTCTCTCTTCTGCCTATCCAATTCCTCTTGCTGATTCTTCACCAAGGCTTCGTATTTCGTCATCGTCTCGTCTCTGTTTCTCACAAACGCATCCATCTCGCGTTCCTTTTCTGTTAAATTGCTCCTCAATTCATCATTAATATTCCGCAATCGTTCATTGTCAATTTGTCGTTCCTTCGCATTCTCCTCGAGTAAATTAAATATCTTTGCGTTTCGCTCAAAATTCTCCAAATGTATCTTCAATTCTTTGATATGCTGTTCCTTTTCGGAAAGCGCCTCCTTTGTCTGTGTCAATTCGCTGATAGCGCTTTTCAATTCCGCTTCCATACGATCGTCAGTTCTCCTGGCATTTTCGCTTTCCTGTATCATATGCTTCAATTCCTTTTGCAAAGCCACGATCTCGGTATCTTTCTCTTGTTCCTTGAGAGCAGTTCCTTCCAAACGATTCTCGAGTTCCCACAATTTTTTGTTATTTTGCTCCAGTGCGTTTTCCATGCGATCCTTCTCGATTTTACAAATCTCCAAATTTTTGTTCAGTCGAATAATGTCCTCCTTCAGCTTCGTTACAGTTTCCAAGTTCGTTTCAATCAAATTCGCATCCAGTTTTATATTAATATCACTAGTCGTGTCGTTTTCCTCCTTTATCCGTAATTCAGATTTGTCCGATTTTTCCTTTCGTTCCTCCTCTCTCTCAATCTTACACTTTGATGCATATTCGTCTAATTCTTTACGCTTTGTCTCCAATACCTCCAGCTGTTGTCGGGTATTATCCGTTGCGGTTGCAAGATTTTTTTCCAGCCGATCGATCTCACGCTCGTATTCCGCAAGCCTTGCTTCCGAGGCTGCATTGGAAGTGAACAGAGTTTCTTCTAGCTTTTGTTTTTCTTCCGTGACAAGCGACAATTGTTTCTCGAGTATCTCCGTGGAGCGTTTGTATTCGTCTATGCTAGTTTTACTAGATTGATTTTCTTCCTTCAAAGATTGCACTGTCTTTTTTACGTCGCGAAATTCTTCAGTCAACTGTTTCACTTTCAAACATTCCTCCACATATCGCGCTGTTAATTCTTCCAGTTGTAATTTATCGTCGTTCAAAAATGTTTGAACAGCTTCTCCTTTCAAAACTGCCTTCTCACAATTGGTTTGAGTTTCCGCCGTCACTACGGTAGTTTGAGTGCTCTCGTAACATACGCTCTTATCTAAATTAATTTTAACATTGTGGCGACTCTCGTCAGCTTTTGTATCTGTCTGATAGCCCACGGCACCGGTTTTCATCGATGTTGTACGCAAAGATTCGTCACACGCAACATCGGATGACAAAATTTCGAACGGTTTCAGATTTTCCTTCGAATGTGTCTCCGCGCTTTCCAATTCGTCTGGCGTATTTTGCGAACTTTCGGATACGTCGGCAACAATCAATTCCCTTTTCACGGCCATGCAGCTTTCAGCAGCAGCAACAACTGTACACAATGTTTCCGCTAACGCGGATGTATTTGTCGCTTTGTTTGCGCATTGAGAGTCCGCTTCTGTATCCGCGGCAATTGGTTTCTCGTAGCGGGCAAACAACGCTAATCTTTCGTCTTTCAATCGCTCGATTTCCTCCTGCATTCGCGACACTTGGTTCTGAGCATCGGACAATTTTTCGCTTTGCCTCTCGAATTTTTCTTCTAAAACCTCGATCATTCTGGTTTTCTCCGTTAGGCACACGTTAACTTGCTCGAGATGTAATTCCACATCTTCAATTTTTTCCTCATTTTCTACTATAATCTTGACTTGCTCGTCAATGCGAAGTTGCTTTTTCTTTAAATCAGATGTTACGGTAATGTAGTCTTTCTTCGCTTCATTGAGAAATTCTTTGAGTTTCATTATCTGTTCGTCCTTAGCGAGCAATTGCGACGTCATTTCCTCCGCGAACAATTTGCCATTTTGATCAAGGCAAATGTCTTTCCGTGCGGCTTCCAGAAGATTTCTCGTCACCTTCAGATCCTCCCTTGATAATCCCAACTCGAAATTGGCTCTATTCTTTTCCATCATCAAGATTTCGTTGGTTGCTCTCAGTTCGGTCAGTTGCTTCCTCAAAGTTTCATTCTTCACGTTAAGTTGCGCGTTCTCTTCACCCAAATCAAAAGTCACATTCAGATAATCGCTATACCGCTCGCTATCATCGGCACAATCATCGGTACGCTTTCTTTTCTTTCTATGCAGTTGACTCAATTTTTCCTCGTAAAATTCTTGAACTTGTTTCACAGACCATTCAAGGGTATCTTCGTGCTGGGTCTCTGCATCATTTACGCGTTGTTTCCAGTAGACTTCGAGCTCGTTCATCATCGCGATATATTTCTCAGCCATTTCTTGCCGACTCTGGAGATCTCTACTTAGAGCAGAACTTTTTAAAACGGAAATTTCTTTCTTCAATCTCTCATTCTCGTTCGCGAGATCCATATACCCTTCCGAACTGGCATATTCCGAAGTATTCTCCACGGCGTTCGTTTGTTGCCACTCGACACTTTCCAATTCCGTAGCATCCCAATCGGTCGCCGTTTCCATGCTCTGCGTAACTATTTGCGAGAACCTCGACCTCAATTTTGTCCGCGCCTGCTTTTTTTCCTCTATAACGATTCTTTTGGCGATAGCAGCAAAATTAAGAACGTTTTGGGTCTCTGTGTAGAGATTTGGAAGAGGATTGACGTTAACGATCAGGGCCAAATGCTCCTTTCCCGATAGAGCTCGTTGGAACAATCTCGTCAACTTGGACTCCCTGAAAGGCCCGACAGCATCGGTTTTCGCTCTCGTTAATTGTCCTTCGTGAATAGATTTCAAACACCTGCCTAATACCAGTAGACTCGTGTTGATGTTTTGCGCTTCCTTCAATCTATCTCCGATATTTAACGTCTTCTTTAAGCGTTCCGAGCCTGCCAGGTCGCAAAAGGAAAACCTGTGCAGATAAAAATACAATAAGATATTCCTGTTCCTTCTTTGTGCGAAGCAATCAAGAGATACGACACTGTGTTTCTGTCCGATAACATTGAATTATCTTTGTTTATATCAACTGCATGTACGCACGATAAAGTCTCAAAGATTTGTCATATGTAGATAACATTATGAAACATACTTACGTGCTCACTTCAACCGTGTCTGGCAAATTTTCTGCACAATACTTTAATAATATAATTGTGAATATGCAATGGGATCTTGAGCTTTTTGCGTTTAACGCTGTCGCTGCTATCTTGAGATTATATTGTCCCGCCATTAAAATCTGGTAAGCTTCTGCGGCTGAATTAACATAGACGGTTTTGAGTCCTTTGATAAATGCTCTACCACTCGAGTCTGTTCCTAGTTTCAAAGGTACTCTCTTCTTTTGGCATTCGTTCGACAATAAATCGTACACAATTTCATTGTAAATTTCTGCGAACGAAACCCAGATTGAATAATGGGCGTCATGGGACTGACTGGGACGAACCGATTCTTCTTGCAATAACTTTTGCATCTGTTTGTAAGCATTTATATATTGATGTTTATCTACTGAACTAAACGTCAGCAGCTTGGTTTTCGCCTCGAGTTCTTGTGCACGTTCAAGAGCATCAAGACCGACTACATCACAATAATGCAAAGGTTTATAAGATGGATTCGGTCTTGTGATGATGTTGGAGAATACAAATTCCAACGCACGTGGTATAAGGCCTGGTGAAGTTGTGGTTCCATGCAGTGTATAGGATTTGCCTGAGTTTGTAGTACCTACAAAATGCAATTGCGGTCGAATTTACGATACACAGCAGTAAGAAAAAGCGTCATTGCTGGTACATCAGATAAAGAAAAACAAGTTATTGAAAGGAAATTCGTCTCGAGCAAAGCTGCACGAATTTTTGAGAAAATTGATTCTGAAGATTTACTAGACATATTTGCATGCACAACTTCACCATGTGGTTGTAAATTCAACTGCATCCTTTGCGGAATATCTCTCTTACCATACGTCATAATAGTGCAGCTATGTCCAGCTAGAAAATCTATCATTTGCTGTTGTACGGTCTGCTCAAATAATTCCAACTGTGTTGTTTCTGGACCAAATGTTTGTGAGAAGATAAATTTTCTACTTATAATTTCATTACTTTTGGACTGCTTGATAGAACTTATTGTACTATCTAACACTGGTAATTTGGTGACTAATGTGGTACAATTGACTATCTTGTATGCATCTTGCTGTTCTGATGTTAGTTTTAACTTTTTGGGAAAAGGTTTTAGTCGGAGATATACTCTAACTGTTTGTAAAGATTCCGAATGTTCGTACACAGTACTTTCTGGAATAGAATTGTTTTCTTCTACTTCGTACAACGAAAGCAAATTCTTTTTGGTATCCTTTGAGGGGAGCGGCCTTTGACTATAAGCCAAGATACTTGGATCTCTACCAAATAGATATGACATTTCTTCTTGTGGATTTTCTGATGGGCGAATCGAGTCCAATGTATTCTCCATCTGTAAATATAAATGAATATAAAGTCATGTATTTGTCCAATAGAGCATTATGCTTGATATATAATAGTTACAATTTTGAAGTCGACAATAGTTTGCAATTTTGAAACAGCAATATTAATTTTTACTACTAGTTTTAAATTATTCACAGGGATATATACTAATAATTGACACAATTGAATCAAATTTTAAGAACCTTTATATATAGTGTTCAAAATTCTAGATATAATCTCACTATTCTTAAGATTATATGAAAAAATAATGCCCTTTAGCTTTGATAAAACTGCATTATTTTGTGTAACGTAACGATGACACGCGCACATAATGAAATATTAATCGAAAAGTTATTTAACAAACATGTTGAAAAATTAAGAGCGAATTGTCGAGTAATTGGTAATTATATAGTTCTCACAAATTCTTTACAAGTTGTTTCTCCTTTCCAAGGAGAACCTACCTTATCAAGTCACTTAATAAATACAGACACCTCAGGTCCGAACAAACGGACGAAACGATACAAAATACACAACATTTCTCCGTGCACGCACGCGGCAACGGTTACTCCTTAAATCTTTCGTTGTCCTTCCGTCGGATTGGTAGTTGATTTAACTGTGTTTTCGATTGGTTCAATTACGGGTGACGTCATAGATGAAAACGAATCACAACGTGCCATTATATTTGAACTAGCCAGTATGGCGTAGCGTTTCGGGAACAGATGCGCATGTACGATCATGAGATAAGAAATAAATAGAAGGAAAAACAAGTTTACCAAGTTTATGCTGCAATTCTAATGCAGGATTCACATCGCGTCCGATGTCCGACGTACGACGTCCGATAACCAATAGGACAACAGCTTTCTAGTAGAGAATTCAATTCTCTATTGGAAAGCTGTTTTCCTATTGGATATCGGACGTCGTACATCGAACATCGGACGCGGTGTAATCCTCCATAAGCAGAATCGTAAAGGCGCAAATTCATGGGACGCTGAAACAGCGTCGAGCTCATGTTAGGGTACGTTCAGATTCCCTACCCGGGTGCACTCTAATACTAGAAGTGCTATAGTATATGTAACATATACTATAGTGTTTCTAGTGATAGAGTGCACCCGGGTAGGGAATCTGAACGCACCCTTACGTGAAGCGTTGTCTACAATATGCGGAGTAAGGGCTATCGCACACAAATTGACATAACTGCATATGCATAGCATAAGACCGTATGTACCAATGAGCATCGAGTATTAAGTCGCCATATTGGTGTTCGATGCTTAATATTCGATGCTCATTGGTCCATACGATCTTATGCTATGCATATGCAGTTATGTCAATTTGTGTGCGATAGCCCTTACTCTAATAGCGAATTCGGTTGCTTGCACTAGTGTGCACTGAGTGCGCACTAAGGCTTGTTCATAGTATGTTATTATATTTAAAAATTGTCTTAAATAATTCTCAAATAAATTCTCAAATATTTTTAACCATAATATGATATGTATAACATCCGTACGAATCATTTTATTAGTTAAAATGTTTCTAAATATGTATTTAAGACACGATCTTAAATATAAGAATGTACTGTAAACAAGCCTTAATGCGCACTCAGTGCGCACTAGTGCAAGCTACCGAATTCGCTATAAGCTTACTCCGCATATTGTAGATATGCCGACTCGGCACCTCACTGTGATTGGTCCATTAACAGTCGGCAGTCAGGTAGGTCTGTGCAGTCTGATACGGGCTTTAGACTCAGCCTTAGGCTGAGTTCCCACTTAGCGCGTTACGCGTCGCGTCGCCCGAGTTAAACCAATCAAATCGTCCCATTTTATTCGTCGTAAAGTTATGCAATAAAATGGTACGATTTGATTAGCTTAACTCGAACGACGCGCGCGTGACGCGCTAAGTGGGAACGCATCCTTAGTTTTCCTTCATGTGTGGTAAAAGGGCCACTGAGTACAGTCCTGTGTGTGTGTGTGTGTGTGTGGAACCATAGAGAGAGAGAGAGTGTGAGTAAGTAGTTATAGTGGTGTCATTACCTCCTAACAACTATCGCCACGGAATATGAATGCACCACCGACTTTCGAATCGTTCCTGTTATATGAAGGAGAAAAAAAGTATAAGATATTTTACATTTGTCCCGAGCTAATCTTGTTTTTATCGATTTAAATAATCTTTCGATGCTAATGATCGCATTCTTTGTAGGATAATAAAGGAACAAGATACTAAAGTACCTAATGCTGCTATCTTTACGGTCAACAAAGAGGACCATACTCTAGGAAACATGATCCGCAAGTGAGCAACAAAATTTTGTTTTAATATCTTTCTGTACTTCAGATTCTTACTTAACAATAATTTCTTATTATACAGTCAATTACTTAAAGATCCTCAAGTGTTATTTGCTGGTTACAAAGTTCCACATCCATTGGAACACAAGTTTGTCATTAGAATACAAACGACATCAGACTATACACCCCATGAAGCATTCATGCATGCCATCACAGATTTAATTGCAGAACTTTCTTTGTTTGAGGAACGTTTTAAGGTATGTATATATGTTCTTTCTCTGCAAAAGAAATAAAAAACTGCACACATAGTTTTATAAAATACAATCTTTGTTTACTAGGAGGCAATCAAGGAAAAGAAGGAAGGCTTGGATTAAGTAAATATATTCTCAATTAAAACACTCCTATGTATATATATAAAATTTATGCTGTAGTTGGCTTTCCTACATCTGATGTGGCTTGATTTTGATAAGAATTATGATACAGTTTCTCTGACTACATAACCAACAATGAATATATACCAAGTACTGCAACACAGAATAAACAGCCATAAAAGTAGCTTTATGCACTATTTGGTCAAATTTGAACTAGTGAGTATTTTCAGTAAGTAGACACAAACAGATATATTTCTTTGAGTCATTTGATAGACTCTTAACAGACTCGGTCTCTTAACACAATTTATGTAAAGATTATTGCTTGTGATAAATTGTAAAATAAAGATTACTATATTTATGCTATATATATTTATGTATTTGTGTTTACATCTTATATCTTAGTATTTTAGGTTTTCACAGTGTTGTCTAATATTTTTCTCGTGTTGCTCTGCTTCTTGAAAAAGTGAACTGAAATATTTACAAAACATCACAACCAAGCACAAGGGAGGACTTGGTCCAAACTTAGAAAACCAGTAAAATATTTCATATTTTATTGTATTTGTGACAAAATTGCCATGCCAATTGTGATGCCATTTTATCGAGAGAGAGAATATTACTATCTTGAGTTTTTCATGTCTGTAGAATTTTTACAAAGTTGATATCTATAAAAGGAATTTAAATAAGATAAAAGTTACAATAGTTATGTTTAGCAAAAAAAGCGTTTGTGCTGCGTTGTTAAGCACAACGCAGTTGTGTAGTACTTCGGCTGGGCTGGGACCCGATTGGACACAGATTGTAATGATTGGTTCGACCTAGTAATTCGTTAGATAATTCTTTTCATCGGTTGGTTGTGTCCAATCGTACCGTGATCAATCGGGACGCTCCCGCTTCTGCACACAGAACACAGCAACGCTTGCCGCGCGGCGGAAGTTCGCGCAACAGCCAATCAATATGTTGTTTTTCTGTGAGAGCTACAAGGTTATTACTCTAATGGCTCCTGTGGGCAGGAGTGCGTTCCCACTTAGTGTGTCGCATCATCCGTCGCGGACCAATCAAATCGTCCCATTTTATTACCTAACTTTACGACGAATAATATGGGGACAATTTGATTTGATCGTGATATACGAGTGAAAACTGTGGAACGCACGATTGGTTCCGCTCTTGTTCCGTGCTCCGCTATTCTGCTGCATGGGTTTGCACTCTAAGGATGCTATTTCACGTATCGGACCACAAGCTTTTTGGATACGTTCATTGGTTGACGAACAGAGAACCTAGAAATACTCTATTCGCCAACCAATAAAAGTATCTAAAAAGCTTGTCGTACGACATGTGAAATAGCACCCTACAGCTAATATTACATGTGTTGTACGACAAACTTTTCGGATACGTTTATTGGTTGGCGAATAGAGCATTTCTAAGTTCTCTGTTCGTCAACCAATGAATGTATCCAAAAAGCTTGTCGTATGACATATGTAATGGTTGCTTTCCAACAAGAGACACAAGTCGACACAAGTATCATCCTATTTTTGGGTGTTTTCAAATTGTGATATCCTTAAACACTTTCATGTTTGAAAAAAGACTGGCATTTGCGATGTGAAGTGGATAATATTTTTTTTATTATTTAGATTTTATTATTTATTATTAAAAAATACCAAAATATAAGCATAGTTGAAAAATAATCCTAACCTTATCCGACATACATACACATTAGTACACACTTTGTT